GGGATGAGGCATCCTGATTCGCTCATTTTCACTCTCCTACTCGAACGTCGATGAAAGGGGCAGCAAGTCTCGTCTCGCCCAGCCATGGCCACGGCCCCGCGACGGTCTTGAGAATGCCGTGTCGAGTTCGAAGAAGCGACGATGATTTTAGAGACCGTGTTCAGCGAGCTGGATGATCCATCCGTCTGCGCAGGCGACTACTCCCCAGGACCTGCCATCTGTTCCAACCTGGGGTACCTGGGAGGACGGAGGTCCTCCCTCCCCATCACTCACTCAAGTTACGAATTCAAAAGAAAAAAAACAAAGACATACACACAACGCCAATGTCCTTTCACTAGGAGAGAAAAACAACACACATGCAACCTTCCAGGAGGGGATGGACGGATGGGAAAGTTGTTGCTAAATTTTTGCTTCCACCTTATACAGGTCTGGCACACATGAAGTCACGAATCACACAAAAGATTGGTCGGTAGATGGCAGATAGTTCCAGTCTCATCAGCTTGGGATCCTATTTTGTTTCCGAGCGGAATACAAATCCATTGGATCGGCATCACATCATTGCGTCCCTCTTCTTCTATGTGTCTAGCCCCTTTTGACTTGAAAAAAAGACAGGTCTAGCAACTAACCAGCTGTATGTATATGTCTTTCTGACATGGGGTCGAGTGAGTCTTTGTCACAGAGCCGTCATGCTATATCGTCATGGTTCATTGGAAGTTTACGTGTGCTTCCCAAGGCAGCTACCACCGTTGGTTGGTGGTGGTGATGGTGGTGGTCCTGTGCGACAATCCAATCGTGTTGTTGCCGTCTTCCACCTTGGAGGCTTGTGGTACTACTACAGGAAGTAGTCAGGCAGCGAATTGCCATCTGCCTGCTTCTCTCCGCCAGGCTGCATGTCCTTGTGCTGGTCGTTCTCCGGAGCCGCAGCAAAGACGTTGAAGAACCTCTCGCCCGTGTCGCTAACCTCCAGTACACTGGCCATGTTGCCACACCTGTAGCAGTAGTTGGGCGCGCTCCAGACCGTGCTTAGCCGGTCATCGTACAGGACCTGGAAGCCCTCCTGACACAGCTGGTGTGCTCTGAGGATATGATCCATGTTGTTTACTGCCAGGAACTTCTTAACTACTTGCGCGCCAAAGGTGTAGCCTGCCCCACGGGGGCTGAGGGAGAACTCGTCTCGCTCGGGGTCTGGGTCGGACCATACAAGGTCAGCCATGGGGCCTTCATGTGGAATCTCGCGGAAGCGGTCGATGATGACGATCTGGTCGATCGAATGGATGGATGGGGATAGGCCTGTACGCAACAATAAGTCAGCATGCTGAAGCCATGGAGTAGGCGGTCGAGTTATGGGGACACATACCGCCATGGACACAAAAGATCTTGTCGTTGATGACGACACTCAGGGTCAGGAAGTCAAACATGTCGGTAAAATAGTGCCATACATTGGCATTGCCGTATTTCCTGGAGCACTCGGTGTAGAAGCCGTATGATTGGGTGACGCCGCGAGATTCATGGTTGCCTCGGATCAAATGAACGCGATTGGGGTATCGAAGTTTCAAGCACACAAGCAAAGAAATGGTCTCGACGCTGAACATGCCACGGTCGACGTAGTCTCCTGAAGGGGGACAGAGACTGTCAGTCGTATTCTTGACTAATACTTCTGCCGGTTTCCTTCCAAGTCGTAAGACAAGACTCACCTAGGAACAGATAGTTGGTGTCTGGGCACCATCCGCCAATCTTGAATATCTCAATCAGGTCGTAGAACTGACCGTGGATATCGCCGACGACGGTAACGGGGGCGCGGACGTGAACGACGTTGCTCTCACGCATGAGCAGCTCCTTGGTCTTGGCGCATATGGCCTCGATGACGGACTCGGCGAGGAGCTCCCTCTTGTATAAGCGCGAGATACACTCGTCGAGGTCGACGGAAGCTATTGTGACGCGACGATAGTCAGCCGCGGGTGGTTCCTCGTGATCGGGCATGCATGACGCAGCATGGTGGTCGGAGTCTTACCTGGAAGACCGGGCATCGCGATGGTATGTTATGCGACAGGTGTTGCAAGGGCGTCGACGTCGCTAGGGGAGGAAAGGATGTTGAAAAGATGTCGCTACCAAGCGAGCAAGTGTCGGGTGCGGGTGCGGGTGCGGGTGCGGTACGGGTGCAGCAGCGAAGGCCGCTCACGAAGCGGGTCGGCGGTGACCACTTCTACTCCAGGCGCGGGCGATGTGTGGTGAGAGGCTTCGTGGTTGTGTGAACATGATCGAGAAGGACGAGTCTTTACATGGACAGAGGTGCGCGGCGGCGGCGGCGTCGACGAGGGGCGGTTGCGTTGTGGGCGGTTCGAGGTGGACGGCGGCGGGGGGTATATACGTAGACGCGGGGGATGGATTGCCCACGATGCCTGTCGTCCGTCTCGTCAAACCTTGGACGGTGGTCTCGTCAGTGGTCCACGCGAGGAGAAAGGAGCGACGAAAAGGAGGGCGCGTCTACGAGGAGGAGGATGGCCGCGGGAGAAAAAGAGGTTGTCGTGACAGGTCGGTGTCCCTGCCTTTTTTTTTTTTTTTTTTTTTCCCCCGTTGGTCTTTAGACGGGCGACAGCAGCGGCTGCAAAAGCAAGGACGTCATGCTGTGAAAGACGGGCAAGTTGCAACCATGCAATTCAATCCACCATCTCAAATTGGCAGCAGAGGGAGGGCAGGCAGCTTGGGAGCTCGGACCTGGCTGAGAAATGCGAATCCAGACGAAGGGGAACAGCCAGTACCTGCCCTGTTGACCTGAGTATCGCTTACGTACACCCGGCATTATTAGGGGCCATGTCCGCTGCAAGCCCCTGGCAGAAGACGCTGAGGAATTCCTTGGCCAGGGAAGCCTGGCTTCAAACGTCACCTCAGTCACCTGCCAGTCCTTCCATCCATTTGGTGCAATCAGATGCTGGAACGCAGGATTGGCCCGGGGCATAATTATAAAGAAGCGTCCATCCCCCCTCCACCTCCTTCTCCCTCAACGCAGCCGCCTGCGCTCCTTGCCCTCTCTCTGTCTCGCACACTCTCTACCCTTGTCAACCTCTCTCGCCTGGATTCGCGCCCGCGTTCTTATTGCCATTGTCGTCGCCAACAGCAGAGCGAAAACTGCCCCGGTTTGATCAGCTGGTCCCGACAAGCGTTTTCGCCCGCATCTGCTACGTCTGCATCTGTGTCTGCTGAGGGCGGATTTGCGGTCACCTTTCCTTGCTTTTCCCCTCGTTCCGAGCACCACCTTATTCATATCTGCCGCAAAGCATCGCGTTGCGTACGACTGCCAACGATCTTGGCTCCCAGGGAAATCACAGCACCTGGCATCGGCAGAATCTCATATCTGCCGTGGATTGGAAAACACTGCTCACTATTGCGTTTCCTTTGTCTTTGCTCCCAGCTTCAACCTCCCGGATCGTCTTCGTGTCTTCTGCCCCTGCTACAGCTGCGAACTGTCGCGCGAAGCTGAGCATGCGTTTCTTTTTCGGGGTCCAGACTGGTCTAGAAATATCTACATCTGTTTCATCATCCTGCTCATGAGATCGAGGAAGCTGTCATCGCAGCCGTGGGCTAGCCTGACATGCCGCATGCGCTTGAATGCCACGCGGCAATCGAATAGTCTCGCTTTCCATCTTTCTAGTTTTCATAGTGCCGTCCTGCTTCCAAACTGCTCTCCAGGCACCGTGTTCTGCCCCTTCATCCAATGCGCCAGGTGTCATGCCTTACTCTGTGCTTGGCCATTACCCGATATCACTCTCACGGAGTCTGCTACTGCTACTAGCAAGACAAGCCCTGTCGCGTTGATGGCTGGCTACATATGCATGATAGAGACATACCTTCGCCAGCAGCCTGTCACCTGAATGGTTCTGTGCCTGTCATACCACCCGGGGATGGGGCTGACGGCAGCCGTGGGAAGACAAGGCCATATACTTCCTCCCTGGCTGTGTCACTACTGTATCTTCCCGCCGCCCGCCCATCTTGCTGAATCAGATTGAGCGCTGCGTGCGACAAAGGCACCTATCTGACTGGACTGGCTGCCTTGAGCGATGGAAAAAGGAAGCATGACCGGGCCGATGTATTTCCGGTTACCCCCTTTCAGCCTGCTCAGCGCAGCCTTTCCCTCGCCTCGGAAGCTGTTGCCGCTGGGCGGTGGTGGGTGGTGGGTGGTGCGGCGCTGTGCCTCACCGGATAGGTACCCAGCCCCACTTTGCGCCTGAGCCTGGGCGCGCAACCTTGAACTTTGGTCAACTTCGTCGCGCTTCTCCTGTGCCCTCATCCTTGTATCGCATCGCCATGCCATCGCGTATGTGATATCGCGGCTCTCTACCACTCGTCTGGCTCTCGCGACTGCATGAGTGAGGTCATCGCTGGACTGAGTCTGCCCCGTCTGCTCGTCACCACAGACCATTGAGGAGGGACCGTCTGCCATGAGGCGATGCGCCGTCGCAGTCAGCACCAGCGCATTCCCTCGACGACACCTCTGAATGGCCTCATCCCACCCTCTCGGCGTACATTAACTTGGTGCTAAGCTCTACGAGACGTACATTTTTGGAAACAGCGTCTCATACGCACAACCTCACAGACTTCAACCATATGCTCTCGGCCCTCTGATCCTAGCTGGTCTACGTTACCTATCGCGGCATCGATCGAGGTTGGCTTCCCCCCTCCAAAATGTTGTTGCTGACTTCATTCTCACCGTTCCAAGCGCTAGACTCACTCGATTTCTGGAACATACGCCAATCGTGCTGAAGCACCTGCTCACGCGTTCTCAGTCGGCACCTCAGTTGGGTGCATTGTTGTGTCTTGGGTGCGACTGTCTTTGTTTTTGGAGGCATAGCAGAGTCGTGACTCAGTTTCTGTCTCTGGAGTCGAATTCTGCGTTGTGTTCTACAGAGAGTTTTGATCATAAATCATCCTTCATCATCAACTAAGGCCTCAGTGGCCCTCGCCGGCACGCCATTCGACATCCATCCGACGAGGCTTCATCAGCAATGGCAGACTTCGCGCCAGGTATGGGACCAGCTACGAAAGAGCCCAGCTGCATTAACTGTGGCGGCGTTGGACATTGGGCCGTCGCGTGTCCCGAACCCGTCAGAGCCAAGCCAGCGTACGTTCATCAATCGGTCCATACTGCGCCGTAACTGCTCGGGCAAAGACTGACTCAAAAACAGGGGTTTGACCCGCAAGCCCTCGACCGGCCATGACCACGGCCGAGGCAGCGATGCCCAGCACGGCGGCCGAAGATCGGGTCCGGTGGTCACAAAGTATGCTCCACCCGGCGGCAATCCGATCGTCACTCGCTACGCACCCCCGCCCAGCCAACCCCATGCTACGGCTCCTCCGTATCCCGGTCCCCCGCAGCCATACCCGTCTTATCCACCTCCCCCGGGTGGCTATGCACCTCCCCCACCCCCGAGCAGCTATCCCAGCTACTCTCAGTATGCATCGCCGCCCCCTCCACCTCCACCGCCATCTGCTTCCTATCCACCACCGCCCGGCCCTCCCGGCCCTCCAGGACCTCCTGCGCCGTTCCAGTATGGAGCTTCTGGGCAGTATGGGCTTCCTCCTCTCCCGGGACCTCCAGGCCCGCCTCGGCCTCCTCCTCCTCCGTCTTATCAGCCGCCTAGTTATCCTCCTGGCTCGGCGTACCCCCCTTACGCACCTCCTGGATATCAGAGCAGTCCCCCTCCACCTCCGGGCGGCCAGTACCCTCCGCCGGGTGGAAGCTACACTTCCTCCAACTATGGGCCTCCTCCTCCTCAACCGCCTTACAGATCTCAGCCACCTCCCCCCCCTCCGCCATACGCCCAGCCCTACGCGCCTCCTGATCGTGGATACGGACCATCGCCGCCTCTGCCCGTCCCTCCGAGGGGTCCTCCATTACCACACGGGCTGCCACCCATTCCCCCCACGCCTCAAAGAAACCACCCGCCACGGGATCGAAACAACCAGAATCGCCATGGCAAAAACAACCGCCAGGACCGCCGACAAGATCGTGGTCGTCGCAATAAGCATAACAACCAATCCAAAAGGGACCCATCGCAGTCTCAGCCAAAGCATGGCGCCAAAGACGCCACCAGGGAAGGCAACAACAATAACAACTCTGAAGTGGCCGAGCCAACCCCAACACCAAAGGCTGACCATGCGAAACCCGCAATCACTGCCAGCGATACGCCAGAAAGCTGGCATGCACCCACGGTGTCAGAGCATGGCGTCGACGAGGAAGATGACTGGAAGTGGGAAGAGGAAATGATATTCAAAGAACCAAACAAAACACACCAGCCAGACCCCATCGCCAAACCTCTCCCCGGGCCGTATGAGTATCATGATAACATCATGCTCCCTCCGGCTTGGAATGCGACGTGTGTCCTTTCCGAATTTGTGAAGGAGAACAATCTGGAAGAGTTTTCGCGGCCGATTCGAGAGACCGAGTACTTCGCCACCCTCAGGCACGACCCGGTGTTTTGGAAGCCAGCGCCTGACGCCGGAAAGCTCAAGAAACCCGAAGTCAGAGAACGTATCAGCACGTTCAAATCGTCACGCCTTCCAGGATTTCCGTCCCTGCCGCCAAAGCCGCCGACCCCGGAGAATCGAGACCATCGACATCTGAACGACCGCAAGCGCGCCTGGGATGACTACCCGTATAAACAGTCCCGTGGAGGAGGTACGCATGACAGTGACTCTCAGCAGAGCCGCTACAAGAGGCAGAAGGGCGAGGGACAGGGAGCATACGAGAATGCGTCGCCTCACAACCGACGAGGACGGGAAGACAGCAGAACGATCGACCGGTACCGAAGCCAAAGATCAGAGCGTACGGAGCATGAATCCAGCGATACCCATCTCAATTCTGTGGACAGCAGAGAGGCTGGGTCTGCCGTGCGCGAAAGAGAAGGATACGTTGCCCGCCAGGATTCGGGCTACTACAGCTCTCGCCAAGTGCGTGGGCGACAAGAGTCCTCCAACGGCTTCCATGACCGGAGGCCGACAACTCCAACATTTCCTGGGACACCCGACAGCCGTCCACCCAGCAGGCAAGGATCTCACCATTCGTGGCGCCGGGGATCTCATAGCAGTCACGCCGACTCGCGCCCGGCATCCAGACAATCCATGGCTTCGGGCGCCTCTCCTGGCGGCGAAGATTCAGACTTGGATGACCTTGAGGCCGAACTCTTGGGAATCTCGACAAAGACGAAGGGCGGAAAGGAAGGCAGACAAAGTGATGGTGGTGCGTTCAAGATTCGCAAGAAAGTCCCCAAAGTCGACTCTGCATACAGGTACGTCAAGTTCAAAATCTACTTTACGTAGCATCAGCTGACCAGGTACATAGCCGGCGATGGTGATATTCACTATAACCCCCTTTTATTCATCATCATAGTCATGGGCATGGGTTGCAAATCATGCCAAAGTAACAGTACCGTGGGCGGTGACAGGGTGGCAGTACCTGCACCAATTTCTTACAACTATTCACAAGCTACATTGAACGCGGGGATTCTGCCTTAATATTTGTTAATACAACGACGTATCATCAAGCCCGGCGTTGGGATGGCCTCCTCTCGGCGGCCGAAGGAAAAGCACCTCGGATCAGGAACAATGTGTCGTCGTCGTCGTGAGTGTATAGAGACTTTGTTGGATGAAGTTTACGACGACGACGCCTCGCATTAGACCTCTTCGCGTTGTCCGAAGATGGCATGCGAATGGCCAGTTCAAAATCAAATTTGCGATTCATGATTTGAAATGTTTCCTCCTCTGTGGTTCGCTAGGCGTGTTTAGTTTCGCCTCGCCTGACACAAGTCCGGTGTCAAGTTGCTGGTGTGGCCGACAAGAAGGGATAAGGCCTGAGCAATCGCTCCCTTCACTTCGGACGAGGCAGAGCAGGCGAACCTCGGATAAGTGGCCACACTTCAACCACGCGCGGATTTCTATCAGCGTGGCCGAGGCTGGATGGTAGCCTGGGCCACGCCTTTGCCATCAAAAACAAGCTTAAGCAATGGATCTGTTTCCGTCCGATAGGGGCGTGGGGAAGTTGACGGCGGTTGGTAGCCGTCAGGGCGCCAGTCGTTGTTGCTGGTAAAAACACCCAGGCTCACAGTGGCCAGTCTCGGTTTCCGATTGTAAAATTGTGGGAATCTCATCGTTCGAGTGTGCCCCTAATTGTCTTGTTCTCACATTTTCGTGTTCGTGATGGGTAGGAAAGTCATGTAATTAGTTTAAACACAAAAAAAGTCTGCTTAACGGTCAATGTCAAGAAGTGTACTGCTTCAGTTTAATCACACGATATCAGGCACAAAATGTAGTTTCAAACTCCGACTGGCGTCAATTGCTTATGGAAAAGTGACGACCTAATAAGAAAAGTATGTAGGATACAAAATAAAGAATGGCCGTTTCCAAAGCTCTATACCCAAGTCTGGAATTCCATCGCAGCTCCGTGGGGGTCCCTGACTCCCTGCGTGCTGGATTAAAATCCCCCAAACTCCCAGGCTTGACACCAAAACGCGAGGATCTCTCAAAAACCCACACAAAATAAAGAAGTGAAGATTTCTCGCTTATGCGCGGTTGTTGAGCTCCATGCGCTTCTTGATGCGGTAGGCGATGGCGCGCTTGCGGCCGGCAGCGGTCTGGGTGAAGGCAACAGAGCCACCGAAGGGGCCGGCGGCAGCGCCGTTGCGGACACGGGCAACGCAGACGCCAGAGGCCATGCCGACCTTGCCGTCGCAGGTCATGCCAGCGGGCATCTGGACCTTGACGGGGAAGTCGGTGTTGGTGGCGAGGGACAGACCCTGGATGCCGAGTCCCGGAACGTCCTGGGTGACCTGGGCGCTCTGGAAAGCAGACTCCTGGGTACCTCCGGAGGTACCGTCGACATCGGCGGTCAGGGGGCCGGCGCCGTCCTGGTTGATCTGGCGGAAGGTCATGGTGATGGTACCGTCATCGGCACAAGTGGGCATGCCCTGGGCAGCACCCATGCCGGCGGTGGCGGCGACGCGAGCCTCGGGGGGACCGTTCTGCTTGTTGCCCTTGTTCTTGCCACCACCACCGAAGAGACCGGCGAGACCCTGGCGGACGTGCAGCTCGGCGCGCTTGGCGGCGTTGTTGGGGATGTTGTCCTCAACGCCGGTGCCGGAGGCGGCACCGTTGTTCTTGGGGGCGGCGGCACCACCCATGAAGTTGTTGATCATGACCTCGGCGGACACGGGGCCGTTGCCCTGGGTGCGGCCAAGAGGGCCAACCTCGCCGGATGAGATCTCGCGGTCGCGGATGATGGCGGTATCGGCCTGGGAGCCGCAGCCGTTGGAAGAACAGTCACGGGGAGTGCCGTCGGCGACTTTGATGATGATTGTGTTAGTATCGAAATCCCCCATGATGTTTGATCGAGCGGTTGCAGAAGAGAGAAGCAAGCTTACCTGTCAGACCGGGCATGGTGACACCGTTGGCGCCATCCATGGACACAACAAGGCCGTGGGCCGAGACGGAGGCGGCCAGAGCGGCGACGACAAGCGATTGGGAGCGCATCTTGATGAGTGAAAGTGGCGAGCGGGAGGAAACTTGGGAGTCGGAGGAGTTTGGGGAGAATTAGAGAATGCGTTTATAAAAAGCCACCGGGGCTAAGTTGTGAAGAGAATGGAAGATGAGAAGAGAAGGCTTGCTTTCTTAATGCTGCGTGATGAGAGAAGGCAGAAAGGTCAGATTCGATGGTGTGGACGGGAGAGTTATATAGAAGAGATCTGGATGGTGGCCCTTGGCATTCCATATTTCCTCATGGCTAGGGGGACGAGATTTGACAAATTCCTAGGCGTGGGATGAGATGGGATGGATTTGGGAGGTCCGGAATCAGATCGTTCCATGCTGTTTGGTAGCAAGGGCAGAGCAGGCGAGTAGCAGCTCGTTGATGCCCATGGTCTGTTCTCAGCTGAACCGCGTTCGCCTCTCCCACCCACTCACACACACGCACTCACTCTCTGCTGTGTGTGCGAGAGAGAGACTGAGAAGAGAAACCAAGCCAACCTCCTAACGCCGCCGCCGCCGCAGCAGCCCGCCCGCACACACCCCCTAGTCGGCCTACCTTGCGTCCCCGATGCTACCTTGCACCTTGCAAACAATTGTCAGGGTCAGTGTGCCCCGTGTGGCTAGGACCTTGGGGAAGGGCGGATGGGGAGGGAGGAACAAGATGGCCGTCAGTCAAAGTCAACCTCAAGCAAAGCTCGGTATCGCGTCAAATCTAGTGGCACAGGCATGGGGCACAGGGGCGTGGACGAGAGAAAACGAGGGACAGACGGGGGCGTGTAGAAGAAGAGCTGAGATGGGTTTGGTTGAACCTCTGTGTGTGAGGAATTGAAATCGCCTGTCGAGGGTTCTCTTGCCGCGCAGGATGACGGGCTCACATTGAGACGACGAGACGGGGCAAAGACAAAGACAGCGGCCCCGGCAACGTCGGAGAAGCATCAACCGGACACCAAGACGATGATGCGTCGTGGGGGATGGAAAACGAGGTTGAAGCTGCCAAGATGCGGCTCTGAGCAAATCGCATCTAAGGCGCTGGAGTAGGCGCCCACAGAAGAGAGGCGAGGGAGCACCCGCGAATCCACCCGCCCACTAGATCCGGGCTACTGCGCCTCATAGTACATGGCTGCTATGCAAGAGTGCGTAAGGCAAAGTACGTGAGGTATGTCGGAATGATTTGAGTGATGTGCGGCAGGGCAGGGCAGGCAGGGCAGCACGACAGGGTAGACAGGGCGGTGGGCGGTTGCGAAGCGGTCGCGATGTGCGGCCGGGGTTCAAGCTCGAGAGCGACGGGGTGGTCGTGTATCGAAGGGATGTGCGGTTAGGTTCACAGCTGCATGAAGCTTGGCGAATCTTTGCTCGTGAATCTGTTTCAGTGGAGTCTTGGCGGCGTTCAACGACCGTGCTGTGCCTGGTGCCTGTGCCTGTTGGTATGAGTGAGTATGTGTGTGTGTGTGTGTGTGTACATGAAGGTGGAGGTGGATGATTTGAGTGAGTGTGGGCAAAAGAGAGTTGCAGTAGTCAGGAACCTGGGCACAGAGTTAGTTCCTGGTAGTGAGGAACGGGCAACGTGGGTTTGGAGTAGTCAGCCACCGTCTTGGGGATGAAGAAGCGGCTATTCGAGATCCGATTGGACCGTCAGTCGGGAACATGATGCAGGCTTCTTACGGCAGCCAAGAAGTTTACGGTTTCGGCGATCCGACTGGGATGGTGAGCAGATCTGGGGCATCTACTACTATGTAGGTAGGCAATGTACCATACGAATATTCCCGTGGTGATGCCCACAGGGTCTACATCTACACCAGCACTGAGATTGCCGTATCGCAAGAGGCTAAGCCTTTTCTTGGCCCCCGTATTTCTCCTGGCGAGAGAGTCTTGGTAGTCGGAGCTGTGTGACGGTGAGCCCGCAACGCCTTGGGAATCGGATCTACGCCGGGGCTGGAAACGCTGGTCCACGTTTTGGAGTCAGGAAACGCGGCCGTTCTCCGTACGGGGTACGGAGCACCTCGGTCGCGGGAGGCGAAGCGCTGCCCAAGGCCATGCGAGGTGGCGCCAGCGGTTGTGGCCATGTTTAGTCTGTGGATCATGATTCAACGCCGTACATGAAGCTGAACCTCTGGAAGATCATCTCCTAGTGTTTCCCCCTTCTTCCACGACGGCGGTGAAGAGGATGATCACCCGACGATGTGCGATGTGAGGTTCGGCTCGGGGAGGGTTCCCTTCGGCGCGGTGAAGGGTTCTATAGCGCGGGGAGGTGTGGTATAACCTTATGACGAGCCTTTCAGCCGTTAGTCGCGGCGATATGTGGCATCGTGGCCGATATCAAGCGACAGTAGGTCATCTGCTGGCATGCCGACAGGTCGGTAGAGTTCAGAGTTCAGAGTTGATCGAGCCCAACACCGGCTCCCGAGTGAGGTGAGCAGAAGGGCGCTCGGGGCAGGAAACAGAAGGCGGTAGACGCGCGATGGAAGGCTTCTAGCGGGCTTGGGAGGCGTGTACGAAGGGTGTGGCCGTTGTCATTGTCACCTTTGGTCGTTGTGGCTGTCACCCTCCCTCCCCCTCTGACGATGGTGAAGGGCAAAGACGGAACGGGAGCGCCAGAGACGACGCGGGACCTGATGTCAATGGAACGCAACGAAAGCGACCCTGATCCGAGGACCGGCCGTGTGACCAGAAGCCAGTGCGGCGGCGCTTGCCAGTGCAGTGAGGTGCTCGAGCTGACGAAGAGGCGAGGCAGCTTCAGGCTGGATCAAGCTGTTGAGAAACTGCCCGACATGAAGTGGATTCGGAGATTTAGTGCAAAAGATGGAAGCCGGGAAGGCAGAGAGAGATCCATGGATGG